ACTGCAAGAAGTCGGGGCATCGAAAAGCCCAGTGTCCATTGCTGAAAACTACGCAGGCGGCAATCGATGTTCAGCAGGCCAGCACTGATGTCAGTGATCAAAAATTACCGATGGAGCCTTCAAAAGAGGCACAGGTAGCCTCCGAGGAGAACGAGAGGCCGAACGCAAGCGTGCGTGTGACGACCAGCTCTTATGCAGTGGAATGCTGTGAAGCGACGGCCGGGTGGAGTTCGGTTGCAGTTGGGAAGAACGATGATCTCCCCACTCTTTCATTTGAATGGGGTGGTGAGAAGGTGACAATGCTACTCGACAGCGGGTCAGCAGCTTCGCTGATCGATCGTGAAAACTCGGAGCGTATGATTGAGAGAGGAGCCGCAGTAAAGATCAGGGGCCAGTCGTCAGTGTCCATCCGTTATGCAGATGCTAGGGTGGAACCGTCCTGTGGCGAGATCCTCGCCAACGTATGCATTGATGGCAAGCCTGCCTACCTTCCTTTCCTCATCGTGGAGAAGCTGGCACAACCACTGATAGGGCGGCGTGGTCTACGACTTCTAGGAGCTACTCTTGACTTTCCCCAAGACACTAAGGAGGAGCGAATAGCTCTTCAGAAGATGTTTGAGAGTAGATCTACTGATGCCATGGCTGCTGATATCGATCTCTCAACTGCTATCATCGACTGTTACTCTACCAATGAGGAGATGTTCGTTGCGGACGATCGTGACCTACAGGCTGTGGAGAGTGGTCTGCGACGGCCGGCGTCGAAATCGCCCGCAGCATCTGAAGAAGGAGATGTGCTGGATCGTCGAGTTGATGAGGTGTTGGCTCGAGCATCAGCTGAGCTACACAAGAACGGGAAAGACTATAAGGGTCGAGAGAAGGAACTCCTCCGAACCTTATTCGCCAGAGTGAGCGAGCTGTGCGGTATAACGATCTCTGATGGGTACGAACTGTCTCTGAAGAGAGAGCGTGAGGCATCTGGCAAGCCAGAATTTTCCTTTGTGGTCAAGTGGACGACGAAAACTTCTTCGTCAGATGGATCGTCCAAAGTTCCGAGAGGTTGGTGTAGTAACTCTATGATACAGAGGCTCGACGAGGACGAGCGATCTGAGTTCAATCAGCATTGCTCTGTGTATACTGAGAGGGGTTGGTGGGAGAAGGTCGAGGAAGACGAGTCTGAACTTCGTAGGATACGTCGTTCCCATTTAACCGGGACGATTTTTCCAGTGAAGCAGAAGTTGACGAAGTCTACTCGTATCCGGCCCGTAGCGGATATGAGAGGGGCCAATTTTTACTCGCCAGCAGTGTCTGCAGTTCAACCAACGGTGTTGAAGGCAGGGCAAGTCTTGAGAGGAGTGCTCCGAAGAGGAGTGCAGATACGACAATACGACCTCGAGAAGGCTTTCTATTCTATCGGTATCGAGGTCATCGACATGGTTACTGGTGAACATACTCCAGTCTACCTATCGGTTGGTAAGGAGTTGTTTGAGTGTTCTAAGCTAGCCTTTGGGCTGGCGGTAGGTCCGCATGCGTTGAACTGTACTCAACGTATCATTCGCAAAGTCGTTCGCTGCGCTTACGACGTATTGCGAGGTGCTCAATGTCAAGATGTCTACCCTACCATTGTTGTTGTCATGGACGACTTCGTAGTAGCCGGTGAGGCTCCTGTGCTTGATGTCGTCGAACAGTTGCTTTTGCTGGGTTGGGACCTGTGCGGTTTCAATTGCCCTGATGCGAAGCGTGAGAGATGGTCGAGTGGCCAAGGTACCCGTTGGCTCGGGAATCTTTGGTGCTGGGACGATGAGCACGAGAAGTTATCCGTTAAGCGCTGTGAAGCTCCGGTGGTCCCGGAGGCTGAGATGTTGAGTAAGCGTATCGTGTTCCAGTTGGCCGGGAAGATCGGCTCGGTAACGGGAGGCGCTTATGAAGCTTTGGCGAGATGTCATGCTGATGCAGCACGAGTCGCTGCTGGTCGGGCTGGTTCCTGGGACGATCAGGATCAGCCCTGGGCAAAAGAAGCGGCGAATCACCTGAGTCTAGCTCGTGAGTATTGGTGTCAAGCATCGATACACGAGGATGGAGAAGTTCCAATCTTTTCGCATTGTAGCCATCTCACTATCGACGTAGATGCTAGTGGGCTGGGCTACGGTTACTGCTGGCGCGATGAAGTAGGCCGAGTTATGGGAGCAGAGGGACGTATACAGAGTCGTAGCATGGCCTTTGCGGCCTGGCATATAAATAGAAGGGAGCTATTCGCGATTGCAGCCGCATTGAGGAAGACGGTTGAGCTTGTTGAGGCTGATGGATTCCCTGCTTTAGAGCAGATTACCGTACGAAGTGACTCGAGAGTTGCTGTCCGTCAGTCTTCTCCTTGGTTCATACCTGCTACGAAAAGTGTGGAACGCCGGGCTATATTACGCCTACGTAGCGTTGTGGCCGATGTCTCTCATGCTCTCTGCTGTCGGAATCCTCCGATTGACCTTCGAATGGTTCACATCAGTGGTCCTTCCAATGGCATCGCCGATGCGTTGTCTCGGGTTGGTTCTAGCAAGAAAGTTGTCGACCTGAGCGTACATGGGTCGGAAGTTTCAAGAAGCGCTAGTCCTGATATTGACTGTGCGGTGACTAACATGGTTTCATGGTTGGACGATGATAACTACGGCGCGATGTCTCTACCCAGTTTTAACCGATGGGTCCAGTCTCATGATTCGACTCATGATGGTCCTGATGACGGTGGTTCTTCACATCCTGATCAGACGACTCATTTGTTCCGTCAATTCTTGAAACTCCACCAGGAGGATGATCCTTTCTGTCAACGTGTACGGCAAAGCGCTGAGAACGATAAGAGTCCTATCCCTGGACTGCAGTATGGCTTCATTCTTGACGATGGACTTGTAGTCCGTCTGAGGCCAGAACACGACACCGAGATTGATCTGCGTGATGGTCTTCGATTACAAGTTGTTATTCCTGAATCTCTCGCTTTGGAGTATGCTACTGCCGTGCATGTTGAAGGAGGCCATTGTGGAGTACGAGCCACTCTGAGTGCTATGTATCAGAGCGCGTGGGGGCCTAAGTTTCGTCGGCATGCAAAGCGTGCTGTGAAAGGATGTCTGGCCTGTGCTACTACTCGCTTCGATACTACGACGGCCCAGTTTCAGTCTGGTGCGGTGAAGATGCCTCAGAGGGTATTCGAAGTCTTGGGATGTGATGTTTATGGTCCTTTCCAGGATCCTTCTATTAGGATCAGTCGTAAGAACGCGGATGGTTCGGTTTCGTCGAGGCAGTCTTGGTGGATTTTCACCATTTGCTGCCGTCTGAGCGGTTACACTCGGTTCTATTTGTTGAACAGTTCCAAAGCCAATTACTTGGTAGATTGTCTCGAATCTTTCTGCTGGTTGGTTGGTGTGTGGCCGAGGGAGATTTGGACGGATAGAGGTTCTCAATTCTTACACAGCTCTAGCTGGGTATCTTTCGTTGTCTCTATCGGTTGTCTCCAAAAGTACAATCTGGCTTTCACTCCATCTCTAGGCGGATGGTGGGAACGTAAGCATCGTGAACTTGGTTCGACTCTGAGAGCATTACTGCAACAGAGACCTACTCCTTGCAGATCAGAAGCTGACTGGCGTAAGTTGATTATGATTGCTGAGAACAGGGTGAATTCTACTCATAGTCATGAGGTCATTTTCGGCTACTCTCCTATTGTGCCGGTATGTGGTGCGGTTCTTCATGCCGTGACGGTACCACGTGGTTTCCGAGGAGATCCTGATGCCGTGCAGAAGGAAGCGGAGTTGCGAGTCAGGAAGCGTAACGATCTTCTTCAGATCTATGAAGAGGAATGGCTCCAATGTCGCAACCGAGTGGCTATGTCTAAGAAGTTAAGCTCTTCGACGGAACGACTATCGCCTGGTGACAAGACTATTCTTTTCAATCCGGGTAAAGTCGGTGGATCCCGAGAGTCCAAGCTCTCTGGTTGTGCGTCCGGGCCTTATTATGTGCTCGAGGCTGTTGGGGATCCATGCTATCGTCTAAGTTTAACTTCTACTGGTCAAGGACGCAGTGCAGTATTCCATGCAAGTCGCTTGCGGAAATACGATGGTCCTGCGAATCCGGAGTCCAATGTTTGTCCACTCTGCCAAGATCTTCGTGATGATATGGTTATGGTTGCCTGCGATGGCTGTAATCAATGGTTCCATATTTCCTGTCTTGGTTTGAGCGAGGACTCAGATGCGATTTTGGCGGATGAATGGTTTTGCCAAGATTGTTTGGCAAAAAGGGGGCGAATAATGTGATGATGATTTCTCGAGGCTTGACAACTCTGCTATACTTGTCGCTTATTTAGACGAGGATTCGTGATTGATCCTGTCTACTTTTCTCTTTCGTATACTCATTATCAGACTTATTGAGAAATAGTCAAGAACTTATGAGATTACAAGATATGTCTGTGACGCGTCCGATGTTCGGTTCTGATCTGTGACGTTAATCGGGAAGTCCGTATTTTTGCAGCTCGTTACATTTCGAGTATCTTACGTACTTCAGGGGTTCTTATTTGGATCTTAATCTTCGGTCTATTCCGTCACTATTACTCCGATATGGATACGAGTCCTAGTAGAGAAAGCGATGTTGGGTTGCACGCGAGTCCGTCGTCGATAGCTTCTAATCGAGAGTCTGCAGGGGAGGAAACCGTGTCGCTACA